TATCACGAATAAGCATTAGTAATGCAAAATTTGAAATTTTTGCTCCATAATACTTAAACGATTCCAAATCGGATCCTGACTAACCTCTCAAAATTTGAACCCATTTTGTGAGAAACTGAGATGGCACAAACCATTTGAAGTTTGTATGGGAATTACTATGGTAAAACTAAGATTTGAGTTCATGTCTATCTGATAATTCACCATATCGGTCTGCTTCAAAGCTTTCAACTTTACTTGTAGGAAACTTTTCCAGCTACAACTTTGCTGAAGACCGTTTTTTGATTAAATGCAAGGATCGAAAGTTATCAATGGTTCAATTCGCTGATGTCTTATGATCATGCTCAATCAACTGCTCAGCAGGCATCATTGGTGTTTCTGGGGCGTTGAATAGGACACAAAAATCATGGCTACTATGTCACACTGCAAAATACAGTGTTGCCTACAGAGCAGCTGCTTGATCATGTCATAAGTTTACCAATCTCTTAAATAATTAATAACTTTTTCCTGTCTCGTTTTACATAGAAACGATCTTCAGCAAAGTTGTAGCTGAGAAAATTTTCTATGAGAATGGCTATCAAACTGTTTCGCAGCTTAATATGGAAAAAGACTAGAAGGCAATGAACAAAAAGTTGAGATTTCCTATAGTAATTTACATTAAACTTCAAATGACTTGTGCGAAGTCTGTTTCTAACCAAATGAGTTGTAACTTTGGGAGGCTAATCAGGACCCGATTTGAAACCATTTAAGCACTGTGGAGCGAAAAGTTCAAATTTTGCATCAGTCTAATAAGCATCCCAATATCAATGAACATCGCTACTTCGTTCTTAACTGACACAACTTATTAGTAGCTTCAAAAACTCTCCTTTTATTATACGCAACTGTGGGCAGTTGTAATGATGAACAACTTCAGCTCACTTTGGTGAATCGGATCTTTTGAACAGATCGTCAATGGATTGCACATTTTTAGCCACTCTTTGTTCTTTGACTATATGTTTTTTAGTATTACTTCTACGTGAAGTCAACGATTTACATAGTTGAAGATGCTAATTTCAAATAACAGACTGTAGTGGTAATTTTTATACGATATATGGAGTAGATGAAAGCATAGAGTTGATAGTTCCGTTAGAGTACGGCAGTGTGAAGATTGTATATAGATATTAGACAAGCGAGCTAGGACAACTTTTTAAGGAAGGTACAAATCGGTTTTTCATCTCTCTTTACCAAACTCCCCCTTTGGAGAGGGATGGTGATGGTGTGTGGTGTTCCCCCCCCCCGCCACCACTAGTCAAAGTACATAACTCTGGATGGGAGCATACCATCAATTACTGTCAATGGTCGAAAGGTACAGTAGCAGCACCTACCCCACCCGTGTCCCCTCGAGATCGTCAAGTCGACGATGACAGGAGCACATATCGTGGTAGGGGTAAACAATAGTTGCAATTTCCAAACCTACGACTGGATGCCTTCCTTCAAATAACAACTGAAGTGCGGTAAAAAATCGGTAGAACTGTTTCAAACACACAGTTGGTACATGAGCGGGTCGGTCTTCATCTCTTTTTGCCAGTGGTGGCGGGGGGGGGGACACCCCTCACCATCCCTCTCCAAAGGGGGAGTTTGGTAAAGAGAGATGAAAAAACCGATTTGTACCTTCCTTAAAAGTTGTCCTAGTTCGCTATTCTAATATCTATATACAATCTTCACACTGCCGTACTCTAACGGAACTATCAACTCTATGCTTTCATCTACTCCATATATCGTATAAAAATTACCACTACAGTCTGTTATTTGAAATTAGCATCTTCAACACTCTTTGTTGTTATGATTTTCATTGAACGAGAATAACCTCTCACTCTCATTTCACCGCGGAGACGAACCAGCCCAGGGCTGAAAGTCTCCTTAATAAAGATATAAAAAAAAACTCATGTAAGCCAACAGCCCCAAATAACACATAGAATTATGTTAAGTAAACAGCTATACGACCAAAACCAGCCAAACAAATGTTATATAAACTGTTATATAACATGTGTACTGCTTAGGGCGGTGAACGCTTTTTAGAAATATCTAAAGAAAATACACATCTTTCATTGTTGGGTACAAACGATATGGAAAGGGAATGTTTTGAATGGTGTGGCGCTTTCTTCTGATATTTTTGACAATGGATGGGTGCTATTTAACTGCATTTCCCGGGCGCTTAATAAGTTTTCAACTGTTTTACTTATTAGGTTATATCGTGCATTTTGGGGAGAATCTAGCAAAATGGACCATTTTTGAGGTCTGCATAGCATGAGTGGCATTCGATTCGCCTAATATTTGTTCAATATATAGATGCTATTAGAGTCCATTTACCAGGCACCAAATAAGACGTGGATTGTTTTATTATGTTCTTCTATGTATTTTGGGGAGGATTGGGCAAAATGGACAATTTTTTTAGGTCTACACAATATGAAATGTGTGGCATTCAATTCCGATTGTTTTTTTTACAATGAATGGATGCTATTTGAGTTTATTTTCTGAACGCCAAATAAGTTTTCAAACGCTTTAATAGCTTATAGGGGAATGTACGTATTCTCGGCAACCTAAGCAGCGACCTTCTTTCTACAGCCTTTTTCTCTAAGGAACGCACACATATGCAGTATTGGTTTGTTTACAATCTTTTGCTGCCAGCTGCTCTAACAATTTCAGTCGAAATAATTGTCAAAAACTGTTTTGAAACGCTTTTACAAAGCTCCAATCTTCTCTAGTGAGAGCGAGTATTGTCGGCAACCAGTTTTTCTTCGGCAACCGTTCCATTTGAACTGCATGTAAATCTGCTGTTCTATTATCGGCAACTTGAAATCAGCTACAATTTGTAGTGTGTGTGTGTTGCATTTCAAGAAAACCTTGCTAGATTGCTTTTTCTCAGTGGTAAAAATATAGTCAAATTGAAGCTGAAAGCATAATGAATCGTTTGCATGCATTCAGCGAAGTGTTTTCGAAAGAAAATCCAGTGAAAATAGTGTTTCATTTTGTGTTGCCGAAAATAGTCTATCATGCCGAAGCCGTCATTTCCCCTATCATTTGGGAAGAATCGAACAAAATCTACCATTTTTTTAGGTCTGCACCGTATGAAATAGGTGACATTTGATTCTTCTAATAATTTGAAAATATATAGGTACTATTTGAGTTCATTTTTCGGACGCAAAAGCCATGTATTTTTGGGAGAATCGGCCAAAATTTACCTCTTCCTGATACCTGCACAAGATGGAACCATCACCAATCGATTCCTTGTATTTTTTTACATTGGTATTGGTATCTTTTATGCCTTCAAACTAGCGTAATCTAATTAGGTACGATTATGAGCTCGTTTTTTCCCACTGTGCAACGTCTGATACTGGAAATTGCTAAAACTAGGTATCATAAATCCGGCATTTCTGAAAAAAAAAATTTCTATCCGCCTGGAATTTTTTTGATGAGCTTCTTCTTTCTATTCTGAAAACATTTTAAATTAAAATGGGATACTTTTTTGCCGTTGGGTATTTGAGAGTAAAAAAACGACATTGGAATGCTAGGACCTTTTCCGGTAGGTTTTAAACTATGTTCTCTATAAAATCGTGGGTGGGACAAAGCATTGACTGTCCCACCCAGGTATTTTTGTACGTAGGACATATCCAACCTATCCCACTTGCTCCTCGCGCTCCTGCTTGAATGAGATGGTCAAATGCCAATGCAAATGTTTTGAACTATTGACAATATTGGTTGCAGTTGTGAGGTGAGTTTAACTATCAAAATTTCTTCTGCGAACTTTTGATGATAATCAAATGATTTATTCAGAAGAATGTAGAATAAATCCAAGCTCGCATTTAAATACTATAAAAAGTTTGCTCATCTCATTTGTGTCAAAATGACTTAAGCAACTACGGTGGACTCTCCCGAACTCGTTGGAAATCCAGAAATTTCCAAAATTAGGCTCCCTAACTCGATGGGTCTTTCAATATCGAGTTAGGACGAGTTGACTGTATATACTTTTAAAAACAAACAAATGGTGTCATGCATGATGATTATGATGATCTGTTAGATGAGTTCTGCTCCTACCACAAACGATCCAGCTGACAGGTCTTAACTTACGGCTCCATGGATAATTTGATCACATACAATCTGGACCCGGCGAACGCTTCGTATATTTCCTTCCAATGGGACATATACGACCTATATAGGTCCTTCAACATCTGAATCCACACACAACTGTGTGACGCTGTCCCCTCCCAAACTAGTTTTTTTTTTCCTCTGCGCGTTCACTTATTTCTGTCGGGTACTGTAAGCACGCGATTCCACATGGATGCACGGAAGGAGATATTGTGGTGCAGGGAATTATGGTTGAAATTGTAATAAAAGCATTTAATAAAAGCTATAATTGAACCAATGCCAACCGAGCAGACACTCACACCATGGTAAATTCACTGGGCTTTTCTCGTTTCACTCTTCGCTCTCCCCCTCTCTCTCTCCCAAGTCGGCGGGGGTCTCAATAAATATGCTGGCTAATTTCACTTTATTGTCGGAGGCAATTTCCCCGAAACGACAAGGAAAAGGCAGATAGAGGCGGACACATTTGCACTACGCCGGACACTCGTACACGCTCGAGAAGAGAGGCACACTCAGTCACAATTTTCACGATTGAAATCACTCGAAAGCATGGCTCTTTGTCTTCGCTTTTGATAGACCATTCGTTCAATCGGGGGAAAAAGTTCAATCTGGTAACCGAAATTTCCGATGAAAGTTGAATTTTTTTTACACATGCAGTTTGCGGTCACCAGCACTGCGCCATCGCACGGTTCCAGTTTCATCAACTGGAAGAAGTAGAAGGTAATGTCACTTCTTCACTCTTTACAATCCTTTGGATGATGTAGAATTAGCACACTATAGAACCCACACGATTCATTTATACACTCTAAACCGCGCGCACCGTTGAACCGAAAGCAAGGACGGAACTAGAACTAGGACGATAACGCGTAGGTACTACTAACCTCTGGGAACCGGCATTGGACTTTTTATCGCTGATGCTCTTGAGATATTCGGACGGTTTGATCAGGTGGTTGGAATTGTCAGTGGATCCGTTCGGGAAGGCCGGCGGAACGAATGGCAGTACGAGTTGTTTATTCACCAGATTCGGACCGTGACTGGACGACGACAGAGCGGAGTTCGAGCGCGACTGATAGAGCTGTTGCTGGCCGTAGTACTGATCGTCGACTACTGCCTTGGCTGAGACGCTGGTCGGACTCGCGAGGGTGCTGCCGTTTCCGTTACTGCTGTTGCCATTGCTGCCAGTGATGAGTTTGGCTTTCTTGTTCGCTGTTGCGAATAGACGGACGAAAAAGAAAAAAAGGAAAAAAATTAAAGAAAAATTGAGTTAGTCTCGTTGCAAACAACTAATAATAAGAAGAAAAAGAACGGCAAGAAAGAAGTAGGTAAAATGTTATAGATTGCACGAAACTTTTAACTCGGTTTCGTGCACCGATCCCCCGGTCGAGGAAGTCGAAGTTGTGTGTTGAAGCGCGGCTGGGGTCTTATCGCAAACTTATCTCAACATCACAACAACAGAGATAGTTTGCGAGCGGGTGGTCGGTACGTAACCTGATGCTTAATTTGGAAAACCATTTCATTTGCGACATTTTTTTTTGTCTACGGTTGAGATGACCTAGGAATTTGCTCGCTGTTTGGCGAACTAAAATTGCAATCGTCTTCTCGGTGCTGGTCCTAGATCATTCGAGAGCAATCGGGCGTGAACCATGCAACACGTTGGAGCGGATGAGTTTCATGTTTGAATGCATTTTGTTTTATAATAAATAGTGGAAGTGCATGCAATAACTGAATGGGTTTTCATTGCGTGATTTTTACGTTTGATTTACTTTTGGGATGCTGTATATAACACTGTAACTGGACGTTTCAATATGAAGTATGTACGTTACAACAATTTGTATAATGAGTTCGTTCAATTTATAAAAATTGTGTATATTATGCAACAATTTTGTTATGCTATCTAACATTATAAACAATTTAATAGTTAAATAACATATCATTAAGTTCTCTACACAGGACTTAGGAGATCCCGTTGCTTCATATTTTCAGAACATTATACCATTCACTGCTGGACATCACAATAAACCCCCAGTTCTACTAACATTGTTGCAAAATAGAGGAGGGTTTTTTTTAACTCTACCTATCGACCCATCAACTCAGGAACCGGGGACCAACGGCTTTACTTCACATCGACTGATACTGAGTGGTTGCGGTACAAGCACATATCGTCGATAATAGACGATTGTTGTGTATCAGAGAACGCTTGCGCAAAAAGACTAGGGTGGGAAACGGATTCGAAACTCAAATGTCATTAGCCAAATACATCCGTAGACCATAGGTCCACCGTTGAATAATTGGCAATGCACCCGTGTACTGAATGGGAATTGTGGGTTCAAATCCCACCGGTGCCCTTAGATTTTTTCGCAAATTTTCTCACACACACGTCTCTTACCGATGATATGTGCTAACCTCTCAGAATGTTCAAGCTTTCTCATAAACAATTAAATTGACTACAAAGTCGCTAAACCGTAAATCAAAGTATTAGTTGAGTTCGTTTGTGATGAAAGAAACATTGGGGAAAAGCATTTCTTCCTCAAAATTTAAAAGCGCTGGTGTTAACAAGCTGTTGTTACTAATAGCCAATTCGTTTATTATTCAGTTCCAACGTGGATCGGGTAGCAAGATTGGGTCTGCTTGTTTTCTGCCAAACGTCAGTTTGTTCATTTTTTTTTTAAATCCAGTTCAGGGTGAGGTTCGCACTGACAAAAAATTAGGTTCGGCACTGAGTTGGAACTGGTTCCAACCCCTATAATAAACGAATTCGCTATAAGGCTTCCATTTGGTGAATTTTCACATAAATTCGACACTTCGAAAATAAATTAAAATTTCCAAAATCCCCTCTGTTGTTGATTGTCTGATTTTCAAAAAGGTGTTTGTAAAAATTGATTCCCTGTCGGTCAAAAATAAGACTGGTGCAATAGCAGGTTTATTTGAAAATTTTCCATCGGTCACATTTAAGTGAAAATTCACCAAATGGATTACAGCCTAAATATCTCACGACCACACATATCACGAACTGTCAAGTCAAGTGATAGCAAGCCGAACAATGCATTAGCTCCTAAGTAACATTGATAGATTATCTATGTAGATTTTTTCTTTACATACCCACGGCCATGCATAGGCACTTCTAGCTATTTTCAACACACAGTTTGATAAAAGAAGCTATTATCTAGCATCTAATACGGTAAACCCGGCAAGAAACGGTTTTGTAGCTAAGTTATTAACGAAGGAGAAAGTCGACGGAGAGAGTCAATCAATGTTACTTCGGACCCAATACATTGTTAGGCTTGATAGTTTTCCGAAGGGCCTACATGGCAAATAAATCTAACTCATATTTGAAACCCTTTCACACAAATTCGCAAAAACGTAGGTCACTAATAGAAAGAGTAAAATTTAAATCAAATATCACTCATATAACGTCACTCATATATGAGTCCATGTTACTCAATTGTGAGTGGCATTTACTCATATTTGATAAAAATTTATGCATTCTGTAAATAACCTACGGTTTTGCGAATCTGAGTGAACGGTACTCAAATATGAATTAGTTTCATTTGCCGTGAAGTTTGTTTTGACGGCAGGATTGACTGCACGCTATTTATAAACAACCCAAAAATGAGTAGGGTTTACTAATTGAGCAAACAAAGTTGGACCTGAGAAGATGACAAATGAACAACATCGTTCGGAATCAGGTCGATGTTTTCCAATTCATCATCTTGTTAGTCCTAACTTTGTTTACTCAATTTGAAGTACCCTAATTTTTACGGATATGAGTAGATCCTAATCAAATTTGGGTTGTTTAGAAATAGCGTGCGTACTAAATCGATCCGTCCTTTCACGCAAAAATTAACATTTTGTCTACGGGATTCTTCAGTGGAGGATAAGAAACGATCCACTATGTTTCACGAAATTCGACATTTGTGCGATATTGATTTATTAGGCTAGCATGTTAAAAAAGGTAAGTCCTTTTAATTCATGAAATAATTAGATTTTTTGATGACCACCGCAGTGTGGATTTTCGTTAGTGCAATAATACAGCAAGATCATGGCGCCTAAAAATCGAAAAATATGAAAATTTTAATTAAACGTTTTCTTTGAAATGAGCAATAAATGTTCGAAATTTGTCCCAAAACCAGGCAATTCATTTACGGATTACAATTTCACAGCAGATGTGGTATTAGTTTTTCATTACTATTGTGTACCCGTAAAAAAAGAATCGTAGAGGTAGTTCAATTAAGGGGGTATTCCCGATCTTTTTTTTCAAAAAATCAAATTTTTTTTTTCACGTTTTTTTGTACTTTAGACTATATACTTTCATCCCCCAAGCCGTTTTCCGATCAGCGAATTCGGTGTCCAGGCATAGCTGACTAATGGTAAGAACCCCCAAAATGGTTTTAACTTAAGTCAAAACTTTAAACGCGTTTTTCTCGAAACCACATTTTTTTTTATCGGGCGAAGATTTTTCTCAGAAACTATAAGAGATATTGACTTGAATCTTTGCGCATTTTGTTCCTTATTAAATTTTTTGGAGCTTCTCCCACTTTCAACCAAAAATATTAACATTTAACATTGTTTGAAGCACCTTAAAGCTGCAAAAAAGCGGGCTAAAAATCGCCTGTTTTTTTCATATGGCTGCCATTTTGTTAATTTGCAAGATTTTTTGCTGCCAACGGGAGAAGCTCCAGAGAATCTTATGCAGATTATTAATTTCATCACGAAATCTGTTTCAGAGGAAGCCGTTCCAGAGAAAAGTCTTCGCCCGTCCAGGCGTTTGCGGCGAACAGGGGTCTGTTTGCCGCCATTTTGTAACGTCAATAATGTCTTTTTTTATGTCGAAAAAAAATTATTTGTAAACTTTAATGTTCAATAAACAAGAATCCCAGAGAGTTAGGCGCATTACTATTCATTTTCCTTGAAAAAAAAATTAATTGAAAAACAGGCCGAAAAAAGGCAAAAGATTGGGAACACCCCCTTAAATGTTTTGTAACCATACAATAGAGTTTACAGTATTTATAATTGATCATACTCTCCACAACGATAAAATTACAATATAATTTATTGTTTCTACAATAGAATCTATGGTAAATGGAAAAATATACAATATAACTTGAGCCATTTACCATTAAATGTATTGTTGTTCTATTGTTGAAAACTCTTACTATATGGGACGTATTGTACATCTACTGTAATAACAATATGTTGAAATTTCGTGTACTATGTACGCACAATTAGATCGATTGTTGGCAACAGAATTGCTTGTAATGCTATTTTATTTTATAGTAATTGTATGGTTGTTTTTTCCGTTTATTATTGAATGAATGAGTTATTTGCTTGATAGGCCAAAGTGAGGTGCTAGGCTGACATTACATTCCGTAACCATATACAACCTATTTCGAATTTCTCTTCAATTATATGTCTTCAATTAATGAAAGAAGGTCTAAGTCAGGAAGTTGGCAGTTTTTACTCCTTTTTAGGATAAATTTAGAAGTAAAGCTCTCATTTTCACAGTCCTTGGATCGAAATAAAGTTTGTGCTTTTTCATGTTTGATCCCAGCGATATGGTTTTCTGGTCAAAAACTTAAAAAAAAATCAGGCTCCCTGGGTAGAATATTTCCAAATGAAAGGTAAAAAATTATATTTTAAAATGGCGAAGGATTCAGTGATGCTTATTTTTTTGTAATAATATTGAACTACCAACCACACTGTGAACCGTTTTGATCTAAGTAATTTTTAAATATTTTTTAACAAGGCCAATACAAAGTATCAATTTCGGATCTATTCGAACCTGTTTCATCAAAATCGGTGATGAACAGGCTAAAAATGGAACAAATATCAAATTCATTAGTTTGAAAAGGTTAAGTATGCAAAGTTTAAAAACACAAAATCAATCTTAACGGAAAACTTTCTAAAGAAAATTTACGAGTTAAAACCTTGATTTCTTTGTCATCATGGAAAAAAGGTGGGCTAAAAAATCACAAAAATAGACCTTTCGTTTAAAAAAAAGAACTTAGAAATAACTTGAAATTTTAAACAGTGCTTCCAGCCAAACGCAAAAATCATCATAAAAATTCAAGTAATATTAGAATCCGCAATCATAGTTTATTATACAACGCTAGCTCATAGTGATTGGTACTGGAATGTTTTGGCAGTTGTCTATTTTGAAAGTACTACTCTGAATGTTCGTGCAGTTTTAAAAAAGTTCAACCAGATGG